GAGGATTTAATTGTTGAACAAAACACAGAAATTCTGATTACAGAGCAGTTGTGTAGAGCAGATTTTGTCATCTCCAATTATCTGTCAACATTATCGACCAACATTAGAGAGTTCTTGCGTCCCCTTATTAATTGCATAAGTGTACAAAAAAGACATCTTTTCAGGGAAGGTGGAGAGCTGCAGAGGGCATTGTTAAGGGTTCAAATATTGAGGAGGAGAGTAAAAACAACCATGGTCCAGAAGAGCTTCGTCAAACAATTGATTTTAATGAACACACGCGTGGGAAGATCACCACCGTACGCAGACAGCAATTGATCTTCGACTAATCAAAGCATAAGCAGATATTTTATACCATCAGGGTTTGAATTTAATGACGCCCCTTCAATGTCAAACAGATACATACATACATATGTATCTGGAACAACCCTGACATATTACAAAACAATATGATTAATTTTCCAGATTGGAGTTGTGAAGGAATTAAATACTTGAAACATATATTAGAAGGAACAGACTTTATTCCGTTTAACAGACTAGTTATACAATATGGGATCAACAAGAAAAGATTTTTAGAATATCAACAAATTAAATCCATAATAAAAAACAAATTTAACCTCAGTCAAGTTGAATTAAATTATTGTCTAAAATATACAGAACACTTTCTAAAATAGATTAATCAATATCCCTTCCTATTGCAAAGTGGGAAGCAGATTTGTCAGTCAGCTTAGACCAAAACTTCTGGTCTCAGGTATGCTTAAAAATCTTTAAATTGATTAGAAATCCCAGTCTGCAATTAATACAATGCAAAATACTACATAGAGTACACTATACAGGTCATCAGATGTTCCAGATGGGCTTCCAACAACTGCTCACACTGTCAAGGCAAAACACCAGACAATTACATTCACACTCTTTGGTTCTGTCCACCAGTTCAGAAGTTTTGGCACGAGATATGTGAAGACGTCAAAGTGTCTGAAATGTAAAATTCCAACCTTCCCTTTAGTGTGCTTGCTGGGCAAATTGGATGATGTCACTACAGAAACTAATACAGTCCACATGGTTTTTACTGCCCTATGCATTGCCAAGAAAACGGTCCTCTTGAACTGGAAAAATAAAAATAATCTTAATTCTAGCAAATATAGAAACCATCTAATAGATCACATTAGTCTCGATACAGCCTCTGCCAACACATTAGATCAATCCCTCTGGGCTCCTTTGATCGGCTCCATCACCTAGCGGGGGTGAGGGGGTCATGGTTTCGTCCCGCCTTCGCTATTGTTTTTGATGTGGAGGTTGGGACGGGCTTAGGGCATCTGGGAAAACCCTAGGGACGTTATCCCTGGAGGGCTTAACCTGGGGATTGTGGTCATAACCTGGTTAGTGGCCCTGATTGCTCTTAGAGGGTGTTTTCCTCATGGCCGCGTGCAGCAGGGCTGGGGGAGGGTCTGTGCTGGCGGACGTAGGTTACTGGCCTGGTAGCCTGGCTGAGTGGATCCGGGGCAGGTGTGGGGGCTTGGGGTTCGGGGGTGCGTCGCCTCCGTGCTAGGGCTCTGGCTGGGCCTTGGGGGCTTCGGTCCTCATTGGTGTGGTTGTGGGTGGGTGGGTGCACTGGGGCTCAGCCCTGGCGCAGGGGGCCTCTGGTGCAGTGGCCTAACTGGGGGGCTCTTTAACTGGCAGGGAGGTTGTTCCATCCTTGCAGGAGTCCACTCTGCAGATGGGGGAGAGTCATAGCAGAGGTGGAGAATAAACTTAACCTGGGTGTCTATTGTCCTGTGTAGTCTGGGAGATTATTGAATGTTGGGGTGGGTACAGTTTCCTCTGCGGTGGGGTTGGGTGGGCTGCCCCGGGTCCTGTGGGGCTTGGCGGTGCTGCTGCCATAGACCCCGGTCTGGATGGGCCTGGGCCCCCTTCCCTTGGTGGGT